AGAGTGTGGTTTGTGAGGTAATTACATGTGTCAAAGTGGGGATGTCATATTATATTATAAAAGACCTAACATTTGAGAAAAAAATGAGACCATCATCCAAGGTTTTGGACCAAAGGTAAAAATGTTATTGGCCTCACAAGCATAGAGCATGTACCTACGACACTGAGTGGGAATGAAGAGTATGGTTTTTGAGGTACTTACACATGTCAAAGTGTGGATGTCATAGTATATTCTAAAAGCCCTAGCATTGGAGAACAAAATGTGCCCTAAATCAAGGGTTTTGGACCCAAATTGAAAAAGTTATTGGCCTCACAGGCATAGAGTGTGTACCTACCACACTGGGTGGAATGATGTGGTTTTGGAGGTACTTACATGGCTCAAAGTGTAGATATCATAGTATATTATAAAATCACTAATATTGGAGAAAAAAATGAGCCCTCAATCAAGGGTTTTGGACCCAAATTGAAAAAGTTATTGGCCTCACAAGGATAAAAAGGGCAGAATGTGTACCACACTGAGTGGAAATGAAGAGTGTAACTTTTGAGGGACTTGAAGATTTCAGCCTGTTGAAGTGATTGTATATTCTGAAAGTACTCACATTGGAGAAAAAAATGATCCCTTCCCCAAGGTTTTTGGACCAGAACTGAAAAAGTTCTTGACATCATGAGGAAATAATGCTCACTCTTGATCTTATTTCAGCATACACATGTGTGTTGAAACATGCAAAAATCCTGCGTGATCACAATTCCTGACTCCACAACTGCAACAAAAACCCAAAACTCACTTAATAGGTGGGAAATATGGCATTCTGACCAACTGGCTGAGTGTAGAATTGGATTCCAAGGTCAGCCTCTCTGATCAGAATTTTACATTTCCCTCATCCTCTTAGTCTTTTGATATGCCAAAGTAAAAGAGAATGTCAATTCCTGACTCCACACCTGCAGAAAAACCCCAAAACTCACTGAACATGTGAGCAATATGTCTTTCTGACCAACTGTTTAATTGTAGAATTCAGTTGTGTTTCCCTTTTTGTTCTTTTTGTTGAAAGAAAGATTGATAGTTGAAAAGTCATTTGAGAACAATATTTACAAATAAAGATAAGGAAATAAATGATGGTGTTTGAAGGCGGTGATTTGAACAATAGTAAACTGGAGTCGATTGTTTTTTCACAAAAGCAGCAAGGCTTTACATAGAAAATAATCGACTTGTTTTTTTGAAAAAGCTATCGTTTCCAAAAGCGTCACGTTTCCTCGTTTTGAAAGTGCCTCCTGCTTATGGATGAAAGCGCTTCATGCTTTTGATTAAAAGTACAACTGTCTAACAACCAAAAGTATGTCTTGCTTTTGATTAAAAGTACCTCTTGATTTTAATTAAAAGCACCTTGCGCTTTTGATTAAATGAAAAGCACCTTTTGCTTTTGATCAGAGCCATATATATAAAGGCTGGAGTTTCAGCATGGGTCCATATCGCCATCTCAACTTTAAAGAGAGCATTGTACTCATACCCATCATTCTCTCATCTCTCTCGTCAAATCACTAGTTGCCTTTTGTTGGAAGGCAGTGTGCCAAAACAATAAATCAACATCTTCTTTCTCATTCATTCATCACAGCGGTTGCCTTTTGTTGGAAGGCAGTGTGCCAAATCAATAAATCACCCGTGTCTTTCTCTTATTGCATCTCTCTCATCAAATCATTAGGACAAGTTGCCTTTTGTTGGAAGGCAGTGTGCCGAAACAATAAATCAACTTGTAAAAAAACAGACAACCTCAAGTACCAAGACTTCTTCCAAGAAACCAACCTTACAAACGAAATTTTAGCTTATACCCATTCGATCCATCTGTGGTTCATACCTATGTGTAGCTTGAATTACCAAATAACTATGATAAACTGTGAAATTGTTCCTTCAAACTGTGTACTCTCCTTATACCAATTTAGTACAACTCCTCAACTTAGATTACTGATGATTGGTGGACAAGTCACATTGCGAGAAGGTTTGATACCTTCATCTTCGACTTGGAAGCACTTCTTACTGGTATGGATCAATCCATATCGTGGATTGATTCTTATTCATATTACGAATCAGAATTGCAGAGAGACAAAAAGACAAGATGGGGTCTTGATGATCGTAGATTGATCGTACTGTTGTAGAGGCATGTGGGATCAATGAGAGGTGGTAGTGGAGAGGTTTACTGAGGTTGAGTGAAGACTAGAATTTCTATACTTGACGTGTCTGTAGTTTTCAATATGGATTTTTCCTACCTTTATAAAGAGAAGGAGGTGTTCAATTTCAAAACAAAGGAAGGGAGCAAATATGCTCTTGATAGATGCGATATATTTCAAAAAGCAAGTAATATAAAAGTAAAATTACAAGGCAAAACTGAAAGTATAAACTATTCAAATAATAAGGCTTCTGGATCTAATGTTTCTGGGTCAACAGCAGCCTTAATCTCCTCCAGATCCAAGCCGTGCATAAGCCCAGCAGCCTCATCTTCATCATCATCGGAGCTGTCCGCATCATCATCACTCTGATGATCTGAGATATCCTCCCACACGTTCTCTTCTACATATGTGGCGTGCACATCACC